ATATTCTACCCAAGCACCAAAGGACATACTTTCTACTCAGCACCCCATGGAACGTTCTCCAAAATTGACCATATACTGGGGCACAAAACAGACCTCAACAAATACAAAAAGATTGAAATAATTCCATGCATTCTATCAGACCATAATGCAATAAAGCTTACAGTCAACACCGGAAGAAGGCCTAATCACCACATGAACACATGGAGATTAAAAAACACGCTCCTGAATGATGAATGGGTCAGTGAAGAAATTAAGAAAGAAATAAAAGTATTCCTGGAACTAAGCGAAAAGAACAATACAACACAAAAAAACCTCTGGGACACACTGAAAGCAGTCCTTAGAGGGACGTTTATAGCTCTAAGTGCCTACATTAAAAAATCAGAAAGATCACAAAAAATGACTCAACATTGCAAACCAAGACACTTGAAAAGCAACAGCAAATGAAACTCAAAACCAGCAGACAAGAAGAAATAACAAATATCAGAGCAGAAATCACTGAAATAGAAACAAAGAAAACAATAAAAAGAATCAACCACTCCAAGAGCTGGTTCTTCGAGAAGATAAACAAGATTGGTGGACTGCTAGCCCAGTTAACCAAAAGAAAGAAAGAGCACCTCCAAATCAACAAAATCAGAGATGAAAGGGGAAACATCACAACAGACACCAGAAAGATACAGAACATTATAAGGGAATACTTTAAAAACCTATATGCTACTAAATTTGAAAACCTAAAAGAAATGGACATGTACCTAAAAGCATGGGACCCACCAAAGCTAAACCAAGAAGAGATTAACAGCTTAAACAGACCCATAACTCATAAGGAAATTTAAACAGCAATACAAAACCTCCTGACTGAAAAAAGCCCAGGACCAGACGGATTTACCATAGAATTCTATGGGACATTTAAAGAAGATCTACATCCAATACTACTTAAGTTATTCAAAAAGACAGAAAAGGAGGGGGAACTTCCAAATTCCTTCTATGAAGCCAGCATCACTCTCATACCAAAGCCTGGTAAAGATACAACCAGAAAAGAAAACTATAGACCCATATCCTTAATGAACATAGATGCAAAAATTCTCCACAAAATACCTGCAAACCACATACAGATACACATCAAAAAGATCATCCACCATGATCAAGTTGGCTTTATTCCAGAGATGCAGTGATGGTTCAATATATGGAAGTCAACAAACGTCATAAATCATATAAATGGGCTCAAAGTCAAGAATCACATGGTCATTGCAATAGATGCAGAGAAGGCCTTTGACAAAATTCAACATGCATTTATGTTCAAAGTCCTAGAGGGAATTGAACTAGAGGGAACATATCTCAACATAATTAAAGCCATATATAACAAACCCACAGATAACATCATTCTAAATGGAGAAAAACTGGAAGCATTCCCATTGAATTCAGGAACTAGACAAAGCTGTCCACTATCTCTTCTCTTTAACATAGTGCTTGAAATTCTTGTAAGACCAATAAGACAAGAGAAAGAAATTAAAAGAATAATAATTGGAAAAGAAGAGATCAAATTATCCCTTTTTGCAGATGATATTATATCTAAGAGATGCCAAAAATTCCACCAGAAAACCCCTAGAAATTACTAACATATTCAGTGAAGTGGCAGGTTACAAAATTAATTTACAAATGTCTGTAGCTTTTCTAAATACCAATAACAAGCAATTGAAGAAAGAGTACAGGGAAACACTCCCCTTCACAATAGCTGCAAAAGAAATTACATCTTGTAATAAACCTGACCAAAGACATTAAAGACCTCTACAACGAAAATTTTAAGTCTTTAAAGAAAGAGATTGAGGAAGACATCAGAAGATGGAAGGACCTCCCATGCTCATGGAT